GCAGGGCTGTGAACTGCGCCGTGTAATCTACAAGATGGCTATCTCAGTTCAACCCTCTACAAATGTGGAACACTTCGTTTAAGGATGGGGGAAGCGATATATCACCAGGTTTCGGCACTGGAACCCCGTGTGACTGGACTTGTGAGGCCCGAAAACAAAAGTCCGACAATCAGGTTGACATGAGAACATGTGCAAGTGACTGTAAGTACAACTGATGGGCCGCAGTTCAATTTTTAGCGTTGAAACGAGGCCGGAGGTGATTGATGGAGGCAGCGACAGGGCACTCGCGCTCCGCATGGATGGTCAATGGCCATGGTGGCCGAGGCCGGTAGCACGCGCTTCGGTGCGGCGGCTCGTTCATTTACTTACGTCCGGGCTATCTTGATTTGGCCGTTGGAGGCGGCCGCAAGGATCAGAGCTGTCGCTTTTTTAAGCTGGCATGCCCACGCCAGCCTGACATCCAACTTCAAAAGCCCGCATCCGCCCCGCAAGGTAGGTGTCCCCCAAAAAGCCTGCACGAACCGCAAACTTATTTTACATTCTAGGTAAACACACCCAACTCTATATCAGTATTGGCGCTAAAGCAAGAAGCTTTAAGAAACCACAGAACATCTTGGTCTCTTCCTTTATGCCTTTTTGATGGCCAACATCAAAACCGCCGATTTTAATTTTAGGTCACATACTTAGCCTAATTACAATATGAGGGCCACAACGAGAATATCTTAATCCACAAACATTTATTCATACAGCCTGCTATTTATGGACTGACATGGAGTAAGACAGTTGGCCCTTATTCATGCCAAGATCTGAAACTATGACTCATTTTGAAGACACTGCTGGATATTTAGTGACGAACCAACGCATACAATGCCCTTTGTCCCATATTTTTTTCTTCGTCCAAGAGAAAACCTTCCTGGTCCTTCAGAAGGCTGCTCATGATAGATAAGAAATTAAACAAATCAAAACAGTACGAGAATGCACATACCAAGACTGACTTTACATTTACGCTGGTTCGGATGATGACTTCAGTCCTAAATAAGTATGCATAAAGGCATTCCTTATGTAACACAACTTGGTCGTCCCGAACCCAAAGATAGTAGGTGCTTCAAACAAGCAAAGTGGTCAAACAAAGTGGTCAACTTCACAAAGAAACACTGGCATGCATACTGAGAAATGGAAAGCCTCACGCATAACTATATTCCTTAGGATGAACATCCAAACATTGCGCGTGCCATCATGCATCACAACACCATTTTCGGTTCCATACACAGAAGGTATCCTGAAGGTATCCACCAGATGTGCCTGCAAGCCATTGAGTGCTTGCATGTGGCGTGTGTACTCTGTGAGCTGTGATTTATTTGACAAATGGTGTCAAATTCCGGGAGTGTAGTTTGCAGCCTACTTATAAGTTTCGGGAGGGCTGAGCAAGGGCAAATGGCTAAACGCATTAAGTTGTTGGAGGCTGGAGCTAGAGCACACTGACGGAGAAAAAGCTACACCCCTGGCAGAATCGGCCCGTGACGTGGGATTATTGCAAAATGGCTCTTGCTGTTGTGTTAAGATTGCATCGCCCCGGAATGTGTAGTGAAGTGCCTGACCTAACATTTGACAGCTTGTAAGCCATGCAAGTCTACTCTTAAAGCTACAGCATGCCATCAATTGTACCTTCATGAAATGGCATGCACGGCATAGTTGGACAACTTTATAATGAATGTAACTGCCGTACATCTGTAACTTCCATAGGGCTCCGTAGCGTTGGAAGCAACGTCTCCGTCTTGGACGGGGCAACGCCGAAGGCGCGTGCGTAGCAGTGGGAAGCTGCGAGCGGTGGGCGTGGTCGAAGGAGTTGTGAGCCGCCCCATCACGGATGAGACGCGAGGGGGCGTCGTCTAAACAGAGAGCCGTCGCCCTGGAGGTCAGGCGAGGGAACAAGCCGCCGCTCAGCTGTGGCGCACCTCAGGCCGGCCCGTCAGCCGCGTCAGCGCCAGGCTCATAACAAACTGACCTGATGTGTTTTAAATAAGGCATAAACAGGGCCTCATTGGATGATTGAAGTACATAAAAAGATTTATTTAGTTCAATGGGGACTAACGCAGACGTGACAATTAGGCCCCAGAAAGTGGTTCTACCGGGCCAAGAAGAGCTGGGTAACGTGGGCGTCAGCGGATGTGTATACTTGGAATGAATGTGGTGGGGCGCCGAATGCACGAAGTCTGTGTAGGACGGGGAGGGGGAGGGGGCGTGGAGGGGCTGACAGGGTTGATACCCAGTGGACCCTTCCCAATGTAATTCCCTGGTTGCGTGGAATCCTCGCCAATTTGGGCGAATTCAGGGCGGTTAATTTATCTCGATGCGCCTGGTGCCGTTTTGCCCGGCCAAATAAAATAATCAGCCAAACGGTGGAGGTGGGATACCGTGGTCAAGGGCACACAACCATACACGGTGAGACAGTCGTCCATGGTGCCTTACCGAACATACCCTCCCGCCAATATGCCGGCTATCCACTTCACCCTAGGATTGTGGCTTACAGGTGTGTGTTGATGTCGGCTGTACCGAAGTTTACACGTTCTCAGTCGTGCGCCAACATCATTCGGTTCGCATGCTGACGGGTTCAACGGTGCGTCTACTGCCAACGTCGTGGTGTAACCCGATCCCGACTAATCACAAGCACCTGAAATATTACCATTTATGAGTTTTATCTTAGGTCGTAACACTATGAAATGAAACGCTGGATCAGCGATAATGCGCAGAGGAGGTGCCTTCAGCTGGTGCTCAGCGCTTGCTGAGCTTGCCTTCGAGCCAAAACTTTGCCACGTCATTTCAGCCTGAAGAGAAAACTCTTGATACAGTGTAATGGGACCGGGTCCACGCAGCAAGGACGGGTAGTGATGGTTGGCGTGTTGATAACGTGCATTTTGATCACATTTTTGGACAGACTGCGATTGTTTAATGCAACCATAAAGGAGCCCCAAGCGGAGGCCATCAATTGCAACATTGTTATGCTCTCATCCGGGTACACATGGCCGGGGGCATGCTCACCGTATGTCAACAAAGCAAGGTAAAAACAAAAAGACAAGATGAAAAGGCAAATACAACCCTACGTATTTCTGAAAACTGCATGATTCGCCGGCGCCAAATACTTGCTTATGAATAACAACATTTAACGGTGTGCATTGGATCACATATTTTGCAATGGGGGAGGGTTTTCCCTTGCAACTCCTTTGTGACACACGTGCGCTTAGTCGTTCGTAATGCGTACGCAAGCAAGCCGCGCCCTGACCCACCAACGTAGAGCGGGTGATGACTAGCATGCGAAATCTGGTCCCGGCTCCCGGGGGCATCTGGACCCAATCGATGCGTGCCAGGGCTGGCAGCTGCACGCACGAGCCTGTCTCCTCAGACGCTGAGTCGACTATGTCGATAACGGGAGGGGCCAGGACGGCCGAGTTCGGTACGCTTCTGTCCACAGCTACGGCAGCGGTGGCCACGATCCAGATAGTGGGTTTTACTCACCGGACAGATACTGGGGAGGTTGGACAACAGTATCCGGCCGGTGATGACTTTTGGAGCTTTAGGATGTGTCTAATGCAGATGACCATGCAGCGCCCATAGAGTTCACCCGCCGTCATCCACTTATATTCACATCCCGTCATTTGAAGTGAAATACGCTTGAATCAATGCCATGCCATGCACGAATGCCATGCAGCTTTTTCAAAGGGCTGGGCACGGGCTAGAATCCTGACATAGGCTATTATCCGGGGAAGGGCTTCACTAAACTGAGCGGGTCAAGCATCGACAACCCATTGAGGTTGCAAGCAAATAGCACCGTCTGCAGTCAATGACGCCGGTTCAAGTTATCGAACACAATTACTTGGTAATCTTGCAAGTGAGCAGCCAGTGGAATCGACGCCACTAAGACGCCAACATATCATGGATAGTTTCGGAGCGCCCTATTCGCTTCCAAACATGTCAGCATGAAGGAGCTTAAAGCTCCGGGTTACGCTACAACACACGTTACGTTACGTGTGTTGTACGTAACGGGTTACAACACAAATTACCCAGCCGGCTACTCCATGCAGCCTCCTGTTTGACGCACATTTCGTGAGACAGGCGCAATGGGTCACTTCAGCCTCACGCACGCATGTTTCATATTCATCTGCTTCTTCAGATCTACTGGTTGCACTCCGGCAGGTAACACAGAAGTGGCGTTCTTCGAACGGCATAAGAACGGCATGGATTCCACCCCATACGCAGTGTGAGTTATAGCCCAGTTTCCATTCTTACGTCACGTTTGCCAGTCAGATGATGCACGCATGAGAACCGGTTGGAGTTGGTTTATACGTTTCAAGGTGCCGACTGGGACCTCTTCTACACTAGACCCAGGTATCTGTTAATGAGCCGGGGGCGACCACAGTAGTTTGGACAGGTTACTCAAACCGAGGGTAGTCGCACGATCATGGGTTTCGACTATGAGCCCTGCAACTTATGTTTTGTTGCGCTCGTTTGCTTCTAGAAGCTAGCTCCTTCAAACCTTTGCTTTGCATTGTTTATTCCTATCGATTTTAAAAACTAAAGGAACTGGCGAAATTCGTACTTACAATATCTTACGAGCGCATCAGGTCATCTATCAATCATCGGGTCATCTGCCAATCGACCCACTACGTCGAATGGACGAAAAGTGAAAGATGAGGCAGTACTTAGCTCATCTATGACCCACGGCGTACATAAGCAATGCAAACTGCTCCAACAGAGCCGCCTCTTTGTTTGACCTTGGTATGTGTAAACGGGCCGCAGTTCAACCCCACGGGCAGTCGCACAACCGGAGATATGTCCCCAATCTGCGCCGATTCGAACAGTCAGCCACCCCATCGCCGACAGTAAGAAGTGAAGCCCTCGAGAAGCGCGCGCAGACCGGCCGGAGACTCTTGCGATGAAGTGGCGGAGCGAGGCGGCACCAAACAAGTGTCGGAGATACTCAGCGGCGCCACCAGCAACCGGCTGAAACAGCCTCCGCCAATCAGTTTTTCCCGGTAAACTGGCTGGGATAAGCCAAGAGTAGCAAAAACTGGCAGAGTCTGGCAGCAGCTCATGCGCAGCAAAGTATGTCGTGAGCCACCGGAGAAAGAAGCGTAACAATATAACATAGTTTTCGTATTGAGCATCGTTAATGAACACACCGTGCCTCTATTGACCAGCGCACAGCAAAAGAGAAAGTCATTGTCTTGTGAAAAATGCGCTTTGTCAGAATAGCCGAAAAAATTCCAGCAAGTGGACTGCTCTCAACATCAATCTAGCAAACAAACATATTAAATATCAGCATGCCAAAAAGCATGTCCATAAACATGCCACCATGAAACTACGCTTGATTCAGATTCAGATTATAAGATTCCAGAAAACTAATGATTCAGAAACTAATGAAACAGATTCCAAGAAAACTAATGCATTTCGCCGACGCCATCAATTCATGCAGTACGACCTGAAGGCAGAGAAAAAAAATAAATGCCTATCTATGAACCAAAGGAACCCCTCCTGCTTGCACTACTTTCACCTAATGCAACGGATGTGGGTTTAGAACTTGTAAGAAAGAATGACTTAAGTGTAGCTTCTCAATTCACAGACGCTTAGAAAATGAAGGATTGCATTTTCAGTTTGTGCCACTAGACTGCTAAGAAGGCATTTCCGTTCCACTGCAGTGTTTGCCTACGCCATAGATCAAACGCCGAGTGAGCTTTTATTGAAACTTCCTTGTACAGCCTCAACAACCTTGTAATGAAAACAGCTCAAATCTAGAAAAAAAAAACACGTGAAATGGCCTGCGTTCATCAGTTGCAACCCCTCATAATCACTCATGCATGTGACGTGCATGCCAGACATATTCATAGCCGTTATTTCAGAATAAGATTTTGATTCGTCCATTATCCTGACAGTTCAACGAACTTCGATGCACCAAGAGCAATACACCAGGTATATAGATGGTCGTTAAATCACCATAAGGTTTTATTTATATTATTACCTTGACAGCTTATTCGCACGAAATGTGTGTGTTGCACATGTGCTGCGCTGGGTTACGAACCAATGCCTCTGAGAGAAAGTATGGCACAATTAGGTGTAGAAGCAGCAGTTACAGATCATTCAAGCCATGACCACTGGCCACAGAGTACACAGGCCACAGGCTCGGATGCACATTTATGTGCCAACTGGGGCAAGTATGTCATGCGTTTTGATCTTACTGCTGCATCGGTGTGCAATTCCTGCACTTCCAAAAAATTAGAACGCATTTGGGCAGCAGTATCGTAATGCAGTAGATTACCTGAGAGATTGTACTTGTCTGAGCCTCCGTCAGTGCGTGCTAGTTTTGACCGGCAAGACAGTAAAAAGAAAAACCTGCAGAAAATAATTTTAGCTGGCAGACCTGCCGACTTTGTGGGTACCTCGAAAGGTTTAAATGACTTTCGGTACCTCGAAAGGTTTAAATGACTTTAGGCACCTCGAAAGGTTTAAATGACTTAAATCACTTTAAATGACTTTAGAAAGGTTTAAAAACTTAGAAGAATGACTTCGAAAAGAAGCGCAAGAGAGCTCCAGGATCCAACACAAAGTTAAACAAAAACTCCGGGCGGTCGAGCTATTCAGTCAGCCGTGCCAAACCAATTACAGCGGACGTTAAAGTGGGGTCGGCGAGTTGGCAAGTTTATTTTGCCGACTACATCAACTTGCAAGCAATCAGCGGCAATCGGGTGCAGGTGGCAGGCGCATAGATGAGTTCAAGCGGGAGGCGTGCGTGCCAGCCGGCTTTGGCCGGCAGCGACATACGTGCACGTGCGTGGCACACGTGCTGTGGCATGCCAGGCGTGCCGAACATCGGTAAAGAGGGCCACAACAAAGACTGATGCAATATAATAAACCTGCGAGCCTGCGAGCTTTACATGAGATTGCTGCTCGTTTTTATGGACAGGCGATCTCACGTTTAGCAAAACGATTATGTTCCGCCTTTCCAGGAACGAGAAGAAACTTATCATCCGAAAAGTAGCTTATCACTTGCATTATACTCTAGAAAATTGAGCTACAGTCACTTTACGTCTGCAGCCATAACGTCACGGACTTAGCTGCCATAATCGATCGTGCAGCGTTTACGTTCTCGCCTCGAGGGGGCGCCCATGTTACGACCAAAAATTCTCAAAATTACAATACCTTAACGAACAGCCTTGTTACAATCCGAAATACATCAAATACAGCAAAATATATGCCAAAACAAGATGTGTTTAACTAAAAAAAAACGCTGTTGCTAATTTCTTTTAAGGTACTGGGTCTACCAAAAAATTGGTTTTTGACATGTTAAAAGTTGAACTCACAATCCTGATTCACTCGCCGTCGTTTCTTCCCAGCCAGAACCAGTCTTAGCCATACCATGAGCTCGAGCGGGCCAAAAAGGAGCCGAGCACGTTAGTGATACTTTCACTGTAGCAGCGTTTCACTATCTGGTGTCATGACTCAACACCAGTGCCAATTCGGTCGCATGTACGGTGCTCGGGACTTCACTGAAATATAACGCTGCTTTTCGGAATCGATTTCACTCTTTCTTGAAAAAACGAAATCATCAAACTTCGTTGCAATCAAAACAAGCAAACACTTAAGAGGCAACAAAATGTCATAAAAATGGTATCAAATTGACTTAAGAATTTGCAGAACCATCATGTCCTTAGCATGAACGGCTTTCCACACGTTTTATCAGCAAACGTTTTTGAATAACGAACTCATCAGATACTTGACCAATATTTCAATCCGATAGCCCAAATTTGGTTAGCGAGTTGGTTGGCACGTGCTCAGTTCAAATTTTGTAGCAACCAATGGCATTTCAAAGAAAGGGCACCCTGCATGAAAGGGCGAATCAGACAGCCAACGTGCCTCTCGCATGAAAAGACGAAGGGTACACTTGAGAACGTAGCCATGGGGACCTACGTGGACCCAACTGGCAACACAGGTTTGCGTAACTTAGCAAACTCACCCTGGCGTACGAAATGGTGAGTGCTGTGGCTCACCTCATAACACGTACGAAAGTGTTAGTTCCGCGGGGACACCATGCAGGACGGGCACGGTGAACTGTATGAACTCACCTGAGAACATGGACATGTTCAGCTGTATGAACTCACCTGAGAACATGGGCATGGTCAGCCGTGTCAATTCACCTGAGACATGAGCATGGCGAGCTGTACGAGCTCACCTGAGAACACTGGTGATCTGTACGAACTCACCTGAAAACACTGGCATGGTGAGCTATATGAACTCACCTGAGAACATTGGCATGGTGAGCTCCGGGTGCAGCTGCGCCAGCTGTCTGGAGAGGAACATCTGCGAGCGCGAGTACGTGGCCGCCAACTGGGCGTCCAAGGTGCCTTGTTCGCGGCGTTGCTTCTCCGCATCTGCAGCGACACAATACCAACGATACCAACGGCCCCTGGGTGTGGTGCGGCCTGCACCAACCCGCAACAAACAGACCGATGCAGACGGCACAGACATACACGCCGACCGCTCTAGTGGGGTCACCCCTTACTGGGCAACGTCTCTGACAAAGCTGCCTGCATGAAAAGTGTGGGCAAAAATCAACAAGCAGCTAAAGCTGCGCTGGAAGTCGCCTTGTCTCCCCAATGAGTGATTACGCGAGAGAATATATACTCTGCAGTCTTAACGCCGACTGATCGAGGTGTTTCTTCAACGGTTCGGCCCGGCCGGTCACACCTATTGGCGGCATTGAAATATATTTGCAACCATTCATCGCAGTGCAGCCAAGCTTTCAGCAACACGCAGCACAAACAAGATTATAGTTTCCTTCTCTCTTCTTGGGGGGGGGGGGGGAGGGGGCTCAACCCATCACCTAACTGTGAGAGAAACGTGGGCCAGATTCGGGGAGAAACCGTCTGCATGCGTTTTGAAACCGTTTGGTCATAAGTTTCCAGAGCACTTTTGGGTGTTCATACAAAGGTTTTCCCACCTTCGGTCAGCTGCTTTAACCAGCAGATCCTCAACATGCCTTGGGAAAGGACAGCGCCGAGGCAACCCTTTAAAAGTTGCGCTGCAATATTTTGAAGCTGAATACAAACAGACTGTTTGATTATTTGTAGCTTTTGTCAGGGATGTAGATTCCTATTCAGTTGGAGGGACTTCAGCCCCCCCCAAACCCCCCTAACTTGGGCTTCTTCAGCACCCCGCCCGTCCGCGGCTTTTGGTAGAGAGTGGGCAAAATCCATGGAGAAACCTATTTGTTAGTTATTTTGGGGGCAGATCGGGCCTTTTTCACTGTTTCCCACACATTTTGCGAAACTCCGGCCCCGACGCTCCTGTAGTAGCCTAACATCACCTGGATTTAGCCCTATCCGTGCGATTGAGACTGCAAGTATAACATTGATAAAATGTAAACCTGTGCGGCACGGACTGAATCTCAATCCAGACCTGGCAAGTCGAGGTCACGGTGGCATACTATTAAAAAGAATGGACTGCAAAGCAGGACACGTATTCTACCGCTGTGCTGTGTCAACTGGATTGTACTGTGGGAACTGGACTGCACGCACTCTAATAAATGCACACCGCCGCGTCCAATGGTCACGTGTACTCGAGCGCAAGCCCCGCACCCACCACTTCCGTGGTGATTTTGCATCATTAACGTCAGGCCTCAGCGAGCAGACACTGTAAAATATTGGGGAGATGTGCATAAATCACCCAGCCCAGTAATCACTGCATGATTCATACAGACGCCAGCTATGGACCGCGCCAATCTCGCCGTCGCAGGCCCTTTTTGAGAGGGTAAGCAGCTTGGATTATGAACGAAATATAAACCAAGAAAATCAGACAGGTGAATAGGCTAACTTCATTTTTAATTTTTATTGATTCACCAATATGGACCCAAAATTCGATATTTTTTGGAAATCGGTTGGTCACAACCAACTCAAATGACACTCCGAGCAAGACCAGACACCATCCTTAATGTCTGAATCAGTTGGTCACGATCAATACAGAAGCAAATGCTTCCGATTCCGTTGTCCAGCATGGTCAGACCATGGGCTCTGAACTTGATTTGACCGGTCATATGTTGCTTCACGTCGGCAGCTCGGAATATACATGTCCTCCGAGAACACAGCAGCATCAAAGCACTACAGGACGGCATGTGGTGCGGTACACAGCACGCTTGCTCGCGGCGCCCACCCGCGGGCGAACTGAGTCGAGGTCTCGCACGACACCGTCACCACAGGATGGCGGGGGAGAACCTTCAAGCGGACAGGGAGCATGCACCACTACGCCATCGAACTGTCAAGCGGCTGTTTGTCAATTAGGAGAGGGGCGCCGAGTGTTTAATAAAATTTGGCCGGCCGTATTTTCTCCCGCCTGGCGGATGCCGTCACCGCGGGTCAGTTGGCGCAGCGCCAAACTCCTGGCCGCTGCCAGAATTCTGGTTACTGTGTGAGGCGCGCTTGGCTTTTATATCAGAAACCACACTAAACGGGTTTCTCTGCCTTCAGCCACCAAACCGCCAGACGTCGAGTTCAGACGGACTCCATTTAAAGGCAGCCTGGAGTCGCAGCGACGCAGGATCAACACGGTTTGACCGATAGAAAACGGACAATGCCTCGGCGCCGGTACTTATCAGCGGTGCCCTTATTAGCGGCCGATCTTGCCAACTAGGAAAGACACCAACAGAACATGCGTGCTCAGCGCCGACGAATGCAGACATTGCGGATCACCTCGACCAGTATTGTGCGGGACGCTACCAATTCCGTATAACTCAATAGCCCCGTATAAACCAAATATTACTGGCGAAAGAACGGGCATGAAACCATCTGTACACGCGCTAGGATTTGACAAAAATGCATTTTTCTCTTAGAACCAGTCGCTTGGGCGGCAACGTGGTACCACTGGCTAAAAAGAGCCCACTTGGGTCAAAAATGCTTATATATCGATACCCAACTCGCGCAACAGGAAATAGCGTTAAAGGTCAGTGATTGTTTTGGCACTAGACGGCATTTTCTGATGCCTATCGTTTCGAAACTATCCATTAGAAAGTAGCGCGTGCAATTGCATGCTCATTACCTCCCAACCTGGTCCAAGCATCTGGCAGGTATCGGGCGCAAAATGGCCCGGAAGCTGACTCTCCCTCAAACACCAACCTACCACCACCACCAACCAGTGGGCTTGCCTCTCTGCACGTACAGTCTGGCATCGCACCGGTCTACACTGTCACATACTGATCTACTGATCCTACAGTTGCATTTAATGATCAGCACCAATCAGCTCGGCACGCGTTCTGGCACACCTTCCGTTTGAATCTGTGCAGTGGTACATATCAAAATGCTTATTTCCTCTCGTCAGCCTAAGTTGCTCTAAGACTACGTCACGCATTGCGGTGTTGGTGCTTTTCCATCACAGATGAAAACACGTCAACATTATTTTCGTGCACTATCATCCTTCAATTTTCCTAACCCATCAGCTGCAGCTCGCCGACATGATGGAAAACGATCCACTTATTAATACCCGTAGAAACGAGCACCAAAGCTTCAATCCGCGTCAGAAATCGTTGGTTATTAGGTGTGCTATCGTGTTTCGGGACGCTTAGATATTATCCCAAGACCTTCCTCCTCTTGTGCCATCATAGTACAGAGCAGTGACTGCACTACGCTTCATTTGATCTGCTTGTGCGGGCTGGGTCTCTTTCCGGTCTGTTTCCACGCATGCTACACCTATTTCGTGACCACAGTCGTCGGCGCTGGTAAGGTTTTCACCTTCTGAGATGAGCGCATTGTAAGGGCAGGAAAGATTATGGCAGCGGAAGCCGTCTTCACGCTCAACTTCCATCAGCAGTCAAGGTTGCGTCGAGGACGCCCTCTGAACTGCAATCTCTTCTTGGATCGGTGACATCCATGCTCACACCACCGCTTGGTTCAAAAGCTCTCGGGAAACTCATTCGCGCTTGGCACAGGCGGGGATAATGTATCCGCTAATGATGTGGTGGTGCACGATTCTGTTGCATCTTACTGGAGTGGGCAGGCTTTTAATGAAATATTTCACAGTTGGAGACATTGAGGTAAGCACTAGATCATCAGAAAAATGCCCTAGACAACAAAATTTCCCTATCCAGCAAATGTGTCGTACAGCACATCGTTTGATTACGTCGTGCAACATCTTTATGACGTCTGAGTGGCTTCCATAATGGCCGTGTAAGAATTGCCATTGTAGCGGACGGACTGACCCACTTTTAGTGTTTAACTTGCCGAGAGGTGGCCGCGTGTTGCTGGAGCGTGTTTGCGGAACCGAATATCGTCGTGTGCCGGGATTTGGCTTTCTTGTGGTGTGCTTGCATATTTATCTATGGTTGTATATCATTTACTTACATTCACATACTCGGTTGTGACACTTTGCTTGCGTTATTCGATTCCCAGTCTTATTTCCTTCATAATTTGTACCTTTACACAAATTCCTGCACCATGCAACACAGCGCGTGATTCGTGTTCAAAATTTGCACAGAACACGCTTAATTGATTGAGGGCTAACTGAAGTACATTCATGCCAGAAATCGTGCTGACGTACCCAATAAGCGAACAACTCAATGAGCATATTTTTCCTGGTCTTAAGCACTTCATGGCCACCGCGGTGACAGTATTCACGTCGACGTTGCCATGGCGTCATGCATGCCTGCGTGAAGTTGAAATAGTACGTAAAAAGTGTGCACAAGTTCGCAAACATCCAGTACAGAAACCAGAGGATTTCAAGCCTTTCAATTTCATGGCTTTTTGACTGCCCCAAATGATTTCAAAATGAGTATCCCAGTTCAAAACCCCAAACAAATGTCGAGTACTCCCTTTATACTCACGCCGACTTGAGTCCCTAGCTTCGTGATTGGCATGCATCATAAACATGTTCACTCCGAATGGTGATCTTTCAATAAGTCTCGTCTCATATGCGTGCTGTCAAGATTTATACAATGCTCCTACCCCCTTTCAGCAGTTCATTGGGACTACGTATAGAGCATCCACATACATCATGACTGGTGAGCGGTGCTTTTCATGGTGTATGTTTTCCAATTTCCTTTTGCGATATGGATGATATAGCGTACACTGATAGAAAAGCGTCGCTCTGTCAGTCCGGTATGGCTAGTATGACTACCATGGCACATTGCCACGGCAGCCTTGGCGTAACAACTCCGTCTTCATGAGCCGCCATGTTTCACGATTTGCCATCGTTAGTGCTTTAGCTACAACCACACGTTACGTCTTATCTCATGTCTGATCACTGTGGATAAGAGCAAGGAACCAAAGAAGTTTGGTTGTGGGTTTGAATGTCTAGCACGCAACCTATTCTTTTCACATGTGTAGAGGATAAGTAGTGGTTTAACGGCAACAGCTTTCTCGCACTGCTGAAGATTCCAAGACTACTG